GAATGACAACTAGAGGTAGAAGGCACTTTTCTAAAACTGCTTTTGAGACAGTGTAAGGCTGAGAAAAATGGGCCCATCACCTTGTTACTATTGTTAACTGAAAACATTAAGAAACAAGGTAATAATTTGAGAAAACTGATGCCGATCCCTCACCACTCACCTAAGAGCTCATCATGGAGTCCCATAACAGAAAAGAAAAATGTGTGTTTTAATGAGAAACAAAGTGAGCCTTTTCAGGAGAAAAAATCATTAAGTTACTATTTAGTGGGCGGTGGGGGCAAATCAAGTCTAATCGGTACACAGAGCACCTTTGGTTTGGTTTCACATACCTGAATCTCCTTCCCCTTAGTCCAAAGCAGCGCATCATGTAGCAAGTCCACACACGTTTTCTAGTCGGTGGCTCAGTAACGGAGGGGATCCCTGGAGCAAGGAAGGAGGAGCCCCGCAGAACATGAGGAGCGCTTGTGGGCCCAGCTTGGTAGGAAGGCTAAGCACTAAAGCTGCTTCTCAGAGTCTGGTAAAAGGTCCCTACGTTTTTCTTCTACCATTTTGGCAACCCTTAATAGTACGACAAATCTTTCTGTTATTGTTGTGGTGAGAGTAAGATAACTGATTTTTTAAAGGCCCCAAAATTAATGTGGGTCCCCCTCCACCTTAAAGCTTAAACACTTGGGTATTTATGTAATTCCTAAGTTCAAGAAAAGTCCACATACATGTCACACATACGTGTTTGTTCTATTTCTTGGACTGCGTGGTGGCTCCACAGGTGTATCTCCTGCTATATGTGATTTATATGTAAGTAAAAGTTTTTTAAAATGAGTATAGTCTAAGGGCAAATATTTGTCATGAATTAATACTGGTACAGGTGAAATCTGGATAAATTCTAGTGCTACTTGGAGGATCCCTAAAAATAAAATATTCAAGGCAATAGGATAGAAAAGAATAAAAATCTGTCCAACTGTTGCTGACTCAAGACATAAGTGGCCATGACGCAGAGTGAACGAACAAATTAACCCTGGATTTTATGAGTGAGAAGTCGAGGACTCCACTAAGCATGAGAAGCTGATGAATAACAAAGAGGTACCCAGAGATCCTCTTTCCTTAAAATTTCTAAGTTCTCCACAATTCCCTCACTCCCCCTCAATGTCCACCCTTACCTCCTCCCAGCACTTAGCCTCCAGCTATCAAAACACTGGCACTCTCCCTTCCAAAGACCACGAGACACTTCGGTCTTCCTTTACCCCGGGCTCGTACTCCATCACCTGTGACCCTCTTTTATTGTACGTCCAGCTTACGCCTGTGGAAGTCTCTGTCCCATACCACTGAAGCCCTCACCAATAATCTGACACCAAATGTATCCACTTCCTTGCTAGCAGGGAGTGGGGAATACATTCCCACTTACCTCAGAAGTGAGAGAGAAGTTTCTGAAAATCCATGTTGGAATTCTAAATGTGTTTTAAAAATATAAAATTATAATATTATAAATGATAGTTGAGATCTATACTTCTTGTTTAAAGGTGGGGGGGGCTTTTTTGGTATGCCCTGGACCCTTACCACCTTTTATGAAATTCAATGGAAAAAATGGATCTATATCTCCAACTACCCTTCTGAACACAACCATTTTAAGCTGGAGCCTACCTATTCTTAAGTGCTCTACACAGAACCTTTTGTAAACGGTAAAGAAATAGAGAAATCTTAAGAGTAAGCTCTTTAGCTATATTTAGAATATTACGTGGTTTCAGCTTTGCTGTTTTGTTCAAGTTGAGGGCTGCTCAAAATGTGAAATAATTAAATACAAAAATTAAAGCAGAAAATTTCTATGAACATATTACTTCAAATCAATTTTACCTTAAGTTTTTTTTAAACTCTGTAAATATCAAACAACAGTGAAATGTGAGCTACCTAACAGTCCATAAACGGAATGGCTGCTAACAAAAACCGGAATGAGCACTTAGTGACTACCAATGCGTACAAATACATCTCCATACATAAATTAATATTTATAAGATTGAGGTGTTTTTAGTTGAGCCTAAATCAATTAGAAGTTATACATAAAAACAAAAAATTATGATAGCATTTCTAAATGACCTTCTTTAAATTGGGGGGAATTCTGTTTTAAGATCAAGAAGATCAAGATAAACAGTTATATGGATTTTCCTAACTTCAAATAGCCACCTACGCTGCTCCTAATGATCTTTAAGAAGCTGTGGTTTATTTAGATGGTAGGAAGGGGGCCATGGAGGGGTTTGCACCTTTTACTTCAAGTATTTCTGTATTGTTTGAATTCTTTTTCCAAAGAATTATGGACTTTTAGTAATTAAAGAAAAAACTTAATTGGAGTTGTGGGGATTGGGAGGACACAACAAAAAAAGAAGTGTATTATTAAAAATGTCTTTCAAGGTGAAACAAACACCATATACTCTTCCATAATAAAATAATAATTTATGTGAGAACAGATTTTAAATATATTCTGTTTTCTGCTAAAATCTCTAATCAAGGACAAAGCTTTAAGCTAAGCAAGAAAAGCAAAAAATTGAAAACTCTTGTGGGGGAGAGGGTTGCAGATTTAAGTTCTCTGCAATTTCTAATGTATCTCAAAATCACTCTTCAGCTCCTATTTTCTTTTTTCTCAGATATCTTATGGCAGTGGTTCTCAAAGCATGGTCTCCAGACCAGCCTCCTCAACAAACTTGTTAAACTGCAAACCCACAGGCCCCATTCCAGACCCACTGGATCCAGAACTCTGGGAGGAGTGGGGCAGCAATCTGTTTTAATAAGGCTTCATGGTGATTCTGAGTTTGAGAGACACTGTCTTAGGTACAATGGATAACATTTTCTTATAATTATTTCAGATTCACGATACAAACTCAGTAATTATTACCTGGTTTAAACACTCCAATATTAATTCAGGCTAATTTCACAGGGATAGTATTAACTTTTAACTATAAAAAAATAAGAAATTTAGAGAAAGGATAGCACAAACATGAAATATATAGTGCTTAAGAAGAAATGTTTAGGGCTGGCCAAGTGGCTCATTGGTTAAGAGTTGGCTTGGGAGCGCGAGCTCTGAGCAGCAGGGCCACAGGTTCGGATCCCATGAGGGCCAGTGACACTGCCCTCTACAGCTAAGATGGTGAACAACAGCTCAACCTGGAGCTGGGCTGCCGTGAGTGGCTGGCGATGGCGTAGGCTGCTGTGGGCTGGCGTAAGCTACCGTGAGTGGCCAGCAGCCAGCGTGAACTGCTGTGAGCCGCTGTGAGTGGCTGTCCAGTGGCCAGTGACGGATCAGCCTCACCCGGGGAAGAGCACAATGATCACAATACTAACATGGGCCAGTGAAGCGACGTCCTCTACAACTAGACTGAAGAACAAAAGGACAGCAACTTGTCTGTTCCCTCCCCCAATTCCCCAATAAAATCTTTAAAAATAAAGTATTTTTTAATACATATTTTTGGTTCAGGTCACTATTAGCAGATCAAGTATGAGCACTTACTACATCCCTAATATTCTGGAGAGTGCTACACAAGTATAAATTTATGCTATAATAATAGAGAAAAACTTTACATCACTGCCATGGCTTTAATTACCATTGATCTATATTAAAGACTCAATCGAGGCTACTGACATCTCCTGGGGGCTCTTTCATCTTATTCTTCCTCACCCATCTCCCAAAATCATGGCTGAAAGGTTATTATTACTATTAAGAGTGCTTCCGGTGTACTGGACAAATGAAAGGTTAAAATTATTGACCTTTACCAGATAGATCTCTCCCTTTATCTTCTGTTTGCTGGATATTTCCGTTTGGAGATCCAATGTGAATCTCAAATTTAATATGTCTAAAATTAAAATCATTATTTTGCTCACACCACACTCATACCCCACTCCTCTTGCTTCCTCTGCTCAGCGAATGCAGCATAGTTTGCCTAAGCTCCAAATCTAACATCTTTGATTTCTCCCTCGCCTGCCAACCCTCAGCCAATCACCAAGGACGTTCATCTTACTTCCAAAGTAGTTCCATCCTCTCTGCAACTACCCTGGCCCAGGCCTCCAGCCTCTCTCCCCCGATCAGTGACTCAGATTCCTACTCAATTAATCCTGTTTCCAGTCTTGTTGCTCTTTCCAGAAAGAGTACACTTTCTAAAGCGTAAATCTGATGTCACTTCATTGCTTAAAATCCTTCCATGGCTCCCTGCTGCCCTAGGGAAAAACATGAAATGACAATATCCTTCATCACCTGATATTCCTCTAGCTGCAAATCTCACACCACCACTCACAGCTCCAGCTGTACTGAATTTTAGTTCCCAAAAAGCAGTCTTCTTTCTCTCTTTGACCCTTCTGATATGTTACCTCTACCTGTTACACAGCTCTATTCCCTAGGCTAATTCCTATTTATCTTTCATGGTCCAGTTTCAATGTTGCTTTTGTCATAAAGCCACCTGTCACTTCCACATGTTATGCCCAATAGCACTCCAAGTGCAGTACTTACCATGCTGTACAGAAACCGGTTCCCTCCTCTAGATTTCAAGCTGCACTGAGAATAGGAACCATGTCCATGGTGTTCACAATTCTAACCCCAGCACCTAGGCAGCAGTATAACATAAAATTAAAGCATGGGGCCTGGAGTCAGTCAGGCCTAAAAAGTGTCACAAGCTGTGACAATTTGGGAATTTCTCGATCTCACTCAGCGTAGGTTTCCTTACCTATAAAATGTAGATGGTATTACCTTATAAAGCTTTTTAAGGATTAAATATAAGAAGTATTTAGCATAGTGCTTGGTACATAGAAATGTTAGCTATTATTATTATTGAAGACAATGCCTATCAAAGGAAATTTCTGCTGAATAAATACAGTATTCACAAGTTATTACAAACATTATTTATTAATACTAAGCTCATGCAATTCACTATATTTCCAAATATAGTTTGTAATTCTATAAGGAGGCTTCAATTTTATTCATGTCCACAGCACTGAAGTTTTCTTACAGCCACTATTTAGTTAAATTATAAAGCAGAATGTTCAAAGAGAATGACCTGTGACTCACTTTCAGGAACAATTTGTTTGTGAAGTCGAACCTGCTCCAAACCAGAGCTTTCAAGAGAATTTGGGCGAGTGTTACAAATTGAGGCAGTTACATTATACCTTGCTGATTGATAAAAGCTGTAGTATTCAAGTCTGTTTTCCCCTGAGTTTTCTGGTGTCTTTTGATTTTGTTTAAATTGAATAAGTTTGTAGATCAAAAAAATGATTAAAACACAAGCTAAGATGAAAAAAGCTAACAAAATGTCAAAAGCCTCATTTAACTTTTCAACTTCTTGTGTACAAATTAGAGATGTTTTCCCTGACACTGAAGTAGCATTAGTCAGTAGAGTGCTGTTCCTTTCCAAGTTCAAGTTAACAGAAGAAGTAAGCTGTATTTGCACAGGTAGCACTGCAGTAGTCTCTAGTAGATTACCAAAGGTATTCTCTTGAAAAACTCTACTGGTAGGTGAAGCAGGAATTTGTTCCAAGAAAGTAACGCTCTCAGTATTTTCCAAATGTTTCCCATCTGTGGTTACTGTATGCCAGGCCATCATTAGCGCAGTGATCTCGTGATGAATCTGATGAAACTGTACAGCCCAAGCTCTGGATACATTTGTCGAAGACGTAACACAATTTGTAAAGTCAGTCCACTTAATATGATGCAATGCTCTGCCATGCATGGATGGGGGATTCTGACAATAGATGTTTAAGGTAATGGCTGAAGATGCTAGCCAGTCACGAAGGCCCAATAGTTTGCAGTAACATTCCCAAGGATTAGAATTTGCCTGAAGATGAGTCAATGAAGACAATGGCTTAAGGACCCTTGGATGTAAGTCTGTAATATTATTAAATGACAGATTAAGGATCTTCAAAGATGCTTCCATGTTTTCAAATGTATCACTATCAATGCTGATTATTCTGTTTCTAGCTAACTTAAGGTAAATTAAATTCTTTAAGCTAAATGTGTCAGACTTTAATTTTCTAAATCATTATGGCTTAAGAGAAAATGTTTAAGATTATTAATTCCACTAAACCCATCCCTAATAACATTTTTAATTATTGAATTTTTCAGGAGGAGATATTCTAAGCGGATAAGTGCTTTAAATGCAAAGGGCTGTACTGCTTCAATATGGTTATGAGACAAAGAAAGTCTTTTAAGACTCTTAAGTACTTCAAAAGCATTTGATGGTACTTTTGTTAAGTTATTACCTTCTAGATACAAACAATCCAGATTTCCAAGATATTGAAAGCCTGCGTCTGATATTCTCAAAATTTTATTGTTTGATAAATCAAATATCCGAAGAGCAATCATACCAACAAAGGTACCACTCCTGAGGACAGTGAGGTGATTTCTTTGTAGATTTAAGTACTGAACTGAAACTAGATCATTAAATACTTCTCTTGGAACAAAAGATATTTGATTAGACTGTAAATATAAATTACAAAGACTGGAAAGCCCCTTCAATATTGCAGGATCCAAGCACCTCATAAAATTATTATAAACAAAAAATATAGATGCTGCAAATGAACGAAGGCTTTTGGATATGCATACACAATGCTACTATTATCCAAATATAATGCTACAAGAGAATGAAGGCCTATTAATTCACTTTCACATATATGAGCTATATTATTTCCAATCAAATACAGAAAAACTGTACTTTGAGGATACTTCTTAGGAATACTTGAAAGGCCTAAGTTATGGCAGTTAATTTGTCTCCCAGTGCAGAGCTGGCAAACAGATGGACATCCAAGTATCTCTTTATGAAATAATAATAATACAAGACAATAGGTAACAAGTAGAGACAGTTATAGACAAGGCAGAGAAAAATGTAATCCACACATAGCCCTGTTCTTGGTTTTTCTGTTCATATCAGAATTGGCTATAAAAAGAGAAGGTAAAACTTTAAATCATCAAAATTTTCTTAAAATGAAAGTTTTATAATAGCAGAAATTCTGTATTCTATTTTATTTTTACTGGGATCAGCTAACAATGCTAAGTGTTATAAATCATATACTACAGATATAGCATAAAATAATAAGTTTGGAATATGTTCTGGAATTATTAGCACCTCCAAGCCACTAACTCACCGTTTGACAAAATGACAACTCTAATTTAATGAACTATAAAATAAAATGTTTGCTAAGTTAATTTAAAATATTACACTTGATTATAACAAAAGTGACATGATGATGCAGGGATACCGGTCTTTGGATATAATATGTCTCCTCATCAACTTAAAGTCTAACATCAATTAAATAACAATGTAATTTATGATAATACAGATTCATTACAGATCAATTAAACTCCTTTTAAACTACAGCTTTTCACAAACCAAATTATTTTCATTTCAGCTAAAAGTTCATATTTAAATAAATAGTCTTACCAAGAACAGGAAATTCATATTATTAACACTTGGCTGATTCAAGTAAAGGTTTTCTTTCTAAATCTGAAGAGCGACATTTCTAAACTCCATTTCTTTCTGTGGCGCTGTTGAACTCCACCCCTCCACTTTTTTTTTTTTTTTTAAGTCACAGTTTGCTCAGGAAACACCACTCTTCACACTGGTTCCTCCACAGTCAGTGTGTAAAACAGAGGTTGCCATGGATACAGGAAATTGAGACAGGAAGTAATTTTATCTGTGTTTCAAAAATATTGTTGAAAGGATATCTCAGGGACTTATTTTTTCAGAATGCAGTTAATTTGAGTTTTCCTAAAGCACACACCTAATATCTCATAACTCAAAAAACACTCTTTTTTAGAAAAAAAGAACCTAAAAATTTTAAATATTGAGAATGAACAAACTCCGTATGCATCAACAGATAGCTATTAAGTGGAAATAGCAAGTTGAAATAAGATGTAAATGGAGTCATACAATTTTTGTGAGTTTTTAAATGCATAAAATATTTATATTACTTTGAATACATATTAGGTATGTCAACTTTGTTTTATTCCTTAAAAAAACCAGATAGCAAAAATAACAAGCAACTTAGAATGATGATCATAAATATTACATTATGTTCTTCATTTTTAATTTTTGTTTTTTGTTTTTTGGGTTTTTTTAGCTGAGCCATTCTGCTACCTGTTGGCAGCTCAGCGGCTGCTCAGCTCGGGCTAGACTCGAACCGCTGTTGCTCAGAGCTCAAACTCTTGAGCGAGCTCTTAACCAACTGAGCCACTCGGCCGGCCCACTTCATTTTTAATTTTTCAAAAAAATTTTGGGGTTAAAAATGTTGAATACTACCAATTAGTACCTTAATCCATTAAGGTATATGCCTTTGGTTGTAACATGGTATCAAGTCACATACCAAATTTACTGAAAAAGGTTATCTTTTGGCAAGAAAAGTTGGAGAGAGTGAAAGAGGCCCTTTAATGACATTTTACCACATGAACATCTGAATTAGTTTTGAATCTTTATGAATAAAAATATTTCTGTGTATAATGTAATATTTTAAGGTAAGGATTTAAAGAGTTGACTATAAATTGTTTATATTATATATAGTTTAGTCATAATTTTCCAAAAAGTTGATTGCTTAGGTTTTCTAATTCTGACTTTTATTATTATTACTAGTACCCTAATGATACACTTAAAATATCAGTGATAATATATAACTACACTAAAATTCCCTTTTGAATTAAAGCAGCTTTACTTCACATGAAGACAATTACTTCAGATAATTATATGAATTATTTCATATTAAATATTTTATATATAATACCTAGCACTTTCTATGACAAAAAAATCAGAGGTACATACTGGATAACAGATCTTTATGGAATAACAGATCTTTATCAAATGATTTACAATTCTTACAACTATCTTTTGTGGCTATTGTTATTTCTATTTTATAAATAAAGAAATAAGAAAACAACAACCAAAACAGCCAGTGACAGAAAAATGACATGAATTAGGTAAAGATGGAACAGGAGCTAGGTTTCTCAAGTCAGTTTTGTTTCATATTTTCAATAACACACCAAGTGGAAGGAAGTATGTCTTACAGCTTCTTCAACTGCATCACACAACTTAAAGGTTATGATGGGGTTCAGGACATGCTACCTCAAAATTCAGCACCTTGGCATATTGAATATTTTAAGCTGAAGGAGTTTCAGAAACAGCAGAAGCAGGAATGTGTCTCTCTAACCTCCCTACTCCCAGCCACACCCCACACCCTCTGCCCTTCTCCCCTGAAACAGGTTATAAAACCTTTGCTTTAGAAGTGCCTTCCCTATACTAGGACGAAAGGAACATCCCTGTCTCCAAAGACAAAAGGACTTTGTGCGGAATCCAAACAGGCCCTATAGTATTTCCTCCACTTCACTACACTTACCTCACAGCCTTTGCCTTATATCTTTCCATGACTTCCCGCCCTGCATCAAACCCAGCATAAAATATACAGGTTTAACAATTTCTTAGGGTCTATTTCTTTATGAAGGCTCCCGAGTCATGTAAAATGGTATGCTTTTCTCCTGTTTATCTTGTCTTTATTAGTTTAATTTCCAGACCCAGACAGGGAATCTAAGAGACTGAAGTAAAATGCATGTCTCCCTGGAGTTTGGAAGAAATCAAGAGAAATGGTCTATCGAAATAAAAATAAATTTTGTTTTGCTTTTTGTTTTTAATAAAAATAAAATTTAAAGAGGGAAAGTCCTCTGTTCCAGAAATACCCAAAGCAGACAAAAATATTTATTTTTATTAGATCTTAAAAGTAAAATTTTTAGAAACTTACACCAAGGAACAGTGATAGAATAAAATGAATCTTGTATTATTCATACTGCAAAAACTGAGGTAAACTAAAGTGACTGTAGCAAACAATAAATCTAAATAATACATTACAGTTCTCAGGTTGATATCCAGTAACATTCCAATATCCAGAAAAGCAAAGTTTAGCCTCTGTGTTCATGCAGGAATTGCTGCTCTTAGGCACAACGATCACTACTGAAGAAGACCGCAGAAATCAAAACCTCAGAAAATGTTGCTGCACGAATGGAATTCAGAGACTCTTTGGCTTACTTCTATGAACACATCATTAATTAGTGGCAAAACTGGCCACTCAAGTTTTAGATTAAAACTCAAAGTTTCCCACTATACTTACTGGAAGATACATTTCCCTGTGTTCTGATTAAGTATTGTCATTTCACAGCAATTCATATTATTTAGATAATTTTAAATCTTCTCATGAGCTTTAGATCTTGTGACGTGTTTAGTAAAATCTTCATATGATTTCCAATGCAAAATAATTCTCACCAGTCTGAACTTTGACATTTTGGTTTTGCTCTGGAATAACGTATCATAAAGGTTCCTCATATCCCTTTTGGGAATCCTACTAATTCCCATTAGAACTATTTCTGAATACTACACTCAGCCTCCTAAATGGGCTTCCTCCCTTTTCTTTCCAGGAAATTGACTCACTGACTTATTTTTCTCTCATTCTTTTATACTGCTTTCATCTTCAAATAATCTCATGCTTCAGGTATTAACACACATCTATTTCCTTTTCCATTCAGAAATTCCATTTACAATTATGAAAATGCATAAATAAGAGAACAATTATTCTATTACCATTTTAAAATATAATACCATCTATATTATTTAGATATATAGCATCTATCTATAAACCAACCAAAATGGTTTTACATATAAGAATAGTTTACAATAGAAGTTATGGATCTTATGATCTTAAAAGTTACTTATGGACTTAAGAATCACAATTTAAAAAGGGATATACAATTAAAAATCGTCCAGTACCAATAAAAAATATTACCATTTTCTCAATGTAGGGTGAAATTTTAATGAAAAGCAGTCTCTCGATAGAGTGCTATTCGGTTGCAAGGAAAATAAAACAGTAGCTTCACAGTGGAGAAATCAGACAACACCATGACCACATGAACATCATTAATGAGAAGCAGGTACACACCATGTGCCACCAGATACAATAGTTCAAGGACACAGCATCACTTATGTAATATACCAATCAGGAATGCATAACCTGAATCTAATCCTGAGGAAACATCAGAAATGCCCCAAATGAGGAACATTCTATTTTGCTGAGACAGGGGGAGAGAGGGGAAAAGGGAGAGAAGGATAGAGAGAAAACAAGTATTTTTAAAAAATGTTCATCGTAATAAAAACAGACTCAGGAAATGACATTACAGAATAAGAGAGATTACAAAGAAATGGCAACAAAATGCAATACGTGATCCTAGACCAAAGTATTTAGGGGTAAAAGGCCATGACTATGCAACTTACATGCAAATAGTTCAGAAAATAAAGCATGATGTATGTTGTATATGTGTAATGTATGTATACATACACATCGAGAGAGAGAGACATGCTAACAGTGTCCAAGTTCTCATGCTCATGAAACTTACACACTACTGGAGGAAACCGTCATAAAAAAGTACTAGACACCCAAATGTCTAGTCCTTCAATGGTTGAAGGCAATACATGCATACAGTGGAATACTCCTCGGGAATAAAAAAGAACATTCTAATAACACACGCAACAGCTTGGATGAATTTAAAAGGCATTATGCTGAATGAGGAAGCTTGTTTCCGAACTATACTGCCTAGGAGTGACCAGTTGGCTCAGTTGGTTGGAGCGTGGTGTTCATAACACCAAGATTGCTGGTTCGATCCCCGCATGGGTCACTGTGGGCTGCACTCTCCCCAAAAGAGTCAACTATGCCATTGTATCATGAAAGCAATGTGTAACCAATGACCATGGCTGTTCCCCAACTTAAGGGAAAAAAAAAAAAGTGTACTACCTGATATCCTTTATCTGACATTCTCGAAAAGGCAAAATTATAGTGAAAGAGGAGAGGATGTAATTCCCAATGTATACAGCACATACGTAGCACATACATATAGCACAAAGGATTTCCCTCAAGTGATAAAATTGTTCTTCTGTATTCTAATTGTGGTAATGTTTGCACAAATCAACAAATG